GTTTAGGCCAAGCTCAGGGCTTTCAGTGAGGGTTGGGCAGAGGCATCGAATCTGCCTCCTCAAGATAATTCCAACCCATTTCTCTTTGATTTTCCCAAGTTTAAGGAGGGTTTAAGGAAAGGTGAAGGAAAGGTGAAAATGTGGGAGCTCCTCATCCCCGTGCCTGGGCCCCTTCACCTCTGGCGTTTTTCCTGCAAACCCCACAGAAACAMGGATGGCAATGCTTCAATCCTGCTTTTTCAGGGCTCTTTTCTGTGTGTCAACATCAGGGTAGGTTGTTTTTAATTAAAAAAAAAAAAACCCACTTTATTGCTTTTTAGCAACTAACRGATTCTTGACAACAGCTCACAGATGAAGACAGATACTTATTTTTCTTTTTTCACTTAAATTCTTCAAGTCCAGATTGGTCCAGTCTTCCAGGGATTCTTTCCACCATCCTCCCTTCCACTTTGAAGGCCTCAGTCCCAACCAGGAAGCACTTCCTGGGAATACTGGGGAAGTGTTTGCTGCTGGAAGGAGGAGGTTTGTGCCTTAAATTGGGTGGAAAGCTGGAAGAGAGCAGGAACAGCTCATTTSTTGAGGGATCACTGGAGCCTCTGGAAGGTGGGAGAAGCCCCGAGGTTGGGAATCACCCCAGCACAGCCAGAGTCCACTCCTGCTCCGTGTCCATCTGTGATTTTCCAGGTGAATGGGAGAACTGAGATCCTCTTGAGACAAAACTTTACCCTCACTGAGGGAAAGCGAGCACCAGGGCTGTGGAAAGGGGATCCACGGGGAGCAGGGATGCTCAGAGCAGCCGGCCCCGGCAGTCGATGGCCCCGCAGCAGCACAGCAGCTCTTTGCCCTCCACGCTGCCAACCTCGTAGTTGTAATCCCAGGTCAGCTCCGTGCCAGCTCGGATCCGCCTGTGGAGTGAAAAACCACACAAAGGGAGGGGTGAGGAGGCTGCTCCAGGACAGAGGAGAAACTGAATGATGGAAGGAAGCCACACGTCCATGTGGACAGGACTGAGGCAGCCGGAGATAAAGGGACAAATTCCCTGATCAATCATTCCCAGGAGGACTCATGGCAGGGATTCAYCACCCTCAAAAGATTTGGGACTCAGACAAGCTGGGAATTTGGCTGCTCCATGCTTCACTCTGCCCCTTGGGAAGGTCTAAAACTGGTGGAAAACACASCAGGATGTCCAGCACAAGAGAGAGGATTTCACCTGACACCAAGGGTGGGAAACTGGGAATGGGATTTCCAGGAGCAGGGAACACCCAGCCCTGGCTGTGAACCAGGTCCCACCAAGGAATCCCCAGCCCTTCCAGCACTCAGGACTCACTTGCTGGCGAAGAAGGCGACCCAGGGGAAGCGCAGGTCRTGGGTGTCCACATAAACGTTCTGCACGAAGAGGTTTGGGGTGCAGCTGTGCTGTAATAACAACAGGGACAGGGCTGAGCTGCTGCCCGGGCAGGGAGGCCGAGCTGCCAGCACTGAACACGGCCTTTATAAACAAACAGCATTCCTGGTGTGCCCACCGCATCCAGCGGAATCCTGCTGGAACAGGCTGCTGCCCRGCTGAGTCATAAGATCCACACTCAAAGGTAACGGCTCTGGAAGGGCTGATGGGGCCGTTCCTGCCCCCACCAGGGCAGAGCAGCTGCTGTTCCACTTGGGACAGTGCATCATCACCCTCCTAACCCTGCTCTTTTCCCGTTTTTAGCGAGTCAGGGGAGGAACAGCCCCCAGAGCAGCCGATCTGTCCCTTCCTTTGCCCCACTCACGTTGAGGTAGCGGCCCAGGTTGCCCTCGAGCTTGGCGTCGATGATGTAACAATTCTCCTCTCCGTCGTAGAACTGGCGCGTGCTGCGGCGCACGGGCCCCGCGCTCTCGCCCTTGTCGGCTGCTGCCAGGGGCGTGGATTTGATGGCGATGCCGTAGGTGGATTTCAGGGCAAAGCCTCGGGTGGATTTCACAGCCACCTGTCTCTTGACGGGACCTGCCACAAGATGGGACCTTCCAGAAGGARCCCAGGGCAGGGCTGCCCTGAGTAMCAAACCCCTCAGASCCCAAATACCACCCCAGGAYGGCTCCTGGAATCAACCCAGCCCAGCCTGGAAACTCACTGTAAGCCTCACTTTTTCTTACAATACCCAAAAATACCTGGTTTTGAGGAGTAGATTTTGCAGTTTTGTTTTGCCAGATACGGGGAAAGTTCTCGCCTCACCCATCAGACACAACAGGAGCGGCCTCATGAGCCCTTCCTGGTGCTTTCCAGCCAAAACCGTGCACCCTCAGTCCTCGTGTCCCCACTCACCTGACCCAGGTGATGGATTTTTCTTGTCCTCCTCCTCCTCRGATCCCGAGGAAATGGTCTGGATGTCATCACTGTCGTTGGCAGTGCCCGGGGCCTGCCCYGCCAGGGCCCTCCCGTTCTCCCCGTCGCTGTCGGTGCTGCTCGACAGCGTCAGCACATCCTGGGGACAGGAACAGCTCCTGGTGCATCCCAACCTCCCTCTGCCCCAGGAATGTGGTGTTTTCCTCCAGCACTCCCCCCTCTGCTCCAGGAAACCCTTTGGAAGGGGACACCACCATTCACAGGTCAATGTTAGGAACACCTGTGGCATTTTGGGGGGCTGCTGAGTTCTGCTTGAGATCCTGGAGCATTGCATGCTCAAAAGGAAGGAAGAAGATCCCAAAAAACATGGATAGTTCCCCAATATGGCTCTGACAAATGACAGGTCCCAGGTGTGCAAACCAAGGTGCCAAATCCAACCCAAGTTCCCCATGCTCTCCTCTTTTCTTGACCATTCGGATCCATGAAAGACCCCCACAATCCAAAGGAAATCAAGCGGCCTCCAGTTAATCACAATTACAACCATGCTCAACTGGGAACCAAACAGTAGAAAACAGCCCAAAACGAGGTTGAAGGTTTGACAGAAGCATTTGGGGAGCCCAGGGCTCACACTCACATCGGAGGGCGGCAGGGTCAGCGAGCGCCGGCGGCTCTGCAGCAGCGCCATCCCGCTCATGGGCCGCCGGATCCCCTCCAGCTTGGGCGGGCAGGGGTTGTAGCCGTACCTCCTGCCCAGGCTGCTCAGCCTGCAGGGTCAGGACAAGAGAGGAACGCACTTGGATCTCCTGGGAAATTGTCCACAGGYCAGGCACGGACAGGAGAACACGATTTAAGGAATCTTACCTGGGAATTCTGGTTGATTCTTCCGATTCCTGCAGAGGGGACAAGCACAGAAGATTGGAATCTCTCCCTTCTCGAGCACTCTCCAGCCTTTCTATGGAATTGCTCCCCAAAATGCCAACCCAGGAGTGAGATGCTGCCTGTCCCCATGCTCAGCATGACACCCAGTGTGACACCCAGCTCTGTGTGCCCCAAACTCTCTCCCTGGGAGTGAAAAGCACCTCCCTGTCCCACCAGAGAAGCTGAGCACAGGGACACCCAACAGCCCCACAGTCCCCTTGAATGTGCTGTACAGGGAGAAAAGCCCCTGGAGCAGAAGCACATCTCTGCCTTTGAYTCTCCCATTCCCACATCTCTCCCTCACCTCCTTCTTGGCTGCCTTTGCCTCTCCATTCAGATCCTCTCCCGGGGTGGAAGCACAGCCCTTCTCCCTCTCCGCAGGGATCTCCATTTTCACAGCCTTGGCTTCTCCCCCTTCGCCCACCCTGAAGGACGAGGTGCTGTCAGTGTCCTGGAAGCTCTCAGCCATGCTGTTGGAGCTCAGCCACGAGGCCACTTTGTTCTTGGAGGTCTCCTCGGACACGGGCAGCTTGCAGGGCCGGGGTGCCGCGGGCTCCTCGTGGCCCAGGGGCCGCGTCAGCCCCGAGTCCTTGGAGGCCGTCTCCGAGAGGCCGTGGTCGCGCTGGTCGCGCTGGCCGCGCGTCTGGCGGCGCGTGGCGTAGCTGCGCAGCACCGAGTTCGTGCTGAAGCTCTCGTCCTTGCAGAAGTTGTCATCAGAGCTGTCCTCGTTGGATTCCTCCAGCTCCTCCGTGCCCGTGTTGTCGTCGTCRTCGTCGTCCTTGAGGTCCACGCCGCTGTTGTCCGAGGAGCACTTGGCATCGCTCTCGTAGCCCTCCTTGAAGTTCTCCACGCTCTCAATGTGGTCCAGGTTGGCAAAGTACTCGTCACCCATCTCCAGCCCCTCTTTGTCAGCAAAGTCATCCGTGAGGATTTTCCCTGGGGGAAACAGAAAACCAAGCGTGAGTTTTCTGGGGTGACATTTGATTTTATCCTCTCCAAACCCCACCGTGGGAAAAACGCTACTTTATTCCAGAGCTGGGCTGGAAAAGGACAACGTAACCCTGATTCTTGAACCAAAAACCTGAGGSTTGTGGTCAAAATCAAGGTTTTGAGCCTGGAAATCTTTACAGAGCAGCTCAAGCAGAGCTTTGGAAGGGCTGGAGATGACAAAGAGCAGCAGCTCCAGCGTGCCCGTGGGCGGCTCCATTGCAGAGCCARCGCAATCCCTGCGCAATTTCTGCGTGGCGTGGGCCGTGCGGGCCCGGCCGGTTTGCTGGGCACAGGAAGCAGGGCAGGGGTTGTGTCACCCCAGGGCCAGCCCAGGGTGTGTCTTGTGACACCAGCACTGCCACCTCGAGGGTTCTGCAGCATCTGTGCCAGCGCTGGGCAAGTTCATCGGCTCAGCTTTCACCCTCCRGTCCCCAAAACGGGCACGGTAAGAGATTCCCACTCCTGCTGGCCTTTGGRATCACGGAGAATGGAAGAGCTGCTGAGTCCAACAGCTCCCCCTGCACTGCCAAGGCCACCACTGAGTGACGTCCCCAAGTGCCACMTCYRYGTGTTTTTGAGCATTTTCAGGGACAGTGACTATCACCTCCCTGGGCAGCCTRTACMAGTGCCTGACCACCCTTTCCAGGAAGAAATATTCTTGAATTTAAGAACCTCCAACTTAAACATCCCCAGGGAGCTGCAGAGAGTCACAAGGCCCCTCAAAACCTCCTTTTCTCCAGGATGAACCCCCCTCAGGTGTCCTCCAGACTCCTCCTGTGCTTCAGCCCCTTCCCCAGCTCCATTCCCATCCCACCCCCTCTTTCCAAAGAAGGTTTTGCCCGTGCAGGTGAGCTCCCACCTGCATAGATGCAGACGAAGGAGCCCTTGGCGATGTCATCGAGGCAGCGAATGCCCCAGCCCTTGTTCTGGGTCTTGAAGAGCTGCAGGCGCACCTGGAGGCCGTGCTGCACCAGGCGGTTGGTGCACATGTTCACGTTGCACTTGCACCTCTTGTTGCACTCGTAAACGCTGGAAGAGAGGAGAAGGGTGACAACTTCACCCTTCACGGGGTGACTTGGGCAGAAGAACCAGGGGCAGGTGGTCACATCTGCACTGGGATAGCCGGGATCAATCCCTCATGGTGGGGTTGGTRCTCGTGAGGGCTCTGCTCTGCTCACCCCGTTGGCAGACATTCCTCCAGCCGCTTGTGCTGGTAGCCCGCGTTGGGGTTGATTTGCCCTCCAGGGGTGCAGCTGCTGGCCTGGATGGTCAGCTGGTGACAGGCACACCTGGATCTGCAGAGACACAGGGAAAACCATGAGTTACACATCTCACATCAATCTRGAGACAGGAGCAGAAATCACATCTTTAGGCAGAGATGGGCACAAAGGGTTTGACTTGGAATCAAACCAAGAGAAATTGTAGATTTCTCATCCCTGGAAGGGATGGGATGACCAGGTTGGATGGGGTTTGGAGCAATCTGGGATAGCAGAAGGCGTCTCTGCCCATGTCAGGAGTTGGAACTAAATGATTTTTAATGCTCCTTCCAACCCAAACCATTCCAAGATTCCGTAAAACCTGCAGGGGTTAAACCTGCACAGGTTTAAATCCCAGAGCAGATCTCGGGCTGCTCCCTGGACAGATCTCACAGCCCCAGTGCYGTCCCCTCAGCCACGAGCAGTCACCTACTTGTCTCTGCAGCCGTCCTTGCAGTCGCAGCCCACGAGGAACTCCAGGCTGGTGTTGATGTACACCCCCTTGCCAGGGATCCTCTCCTTGCTGTAGGCCACCTGCGGCGGCGGCGTGCTGTCGATCTCGTTGACGCASGACAGGGGCACGTCCTCCTTGCCCTTGGTGATGTCGGCGATGTAGTAGTAGGGTTTGTAGGGCTGGAACTTGCGGTCCACCAGCACGTAGGGGTCCAGGCAGAACATCTCCAGGAACAGGAAGTCGCAGTCGGTCTCGAAGAGGTAGCGCTCGATCTCGTGCATGGAGCGCAGGCAGAGCCCGCAGGGGGTTTTGTACAGGACATGGAATCCCATCTTGCGGTTGACGCGGCGCCGCGCCGTCATGCGGCGGAAGTCGTAGAGCAGCGGGATGAGCAGCGGGTTGCGGCTGCGGTACTGATCGCTGCGCAGGGGCCGCACCCGCGCCAGGCACGTGTAGCTGCACACGTGGGGCAGGTAGAAGAGCTTCTCCAGAGGGGCCCGGTAGGACGGCTCGTTGGGAACGCGGTCCATCATCCCGTGGAAGGGCTGCGGGGTGGCGCTGCTGCTCGGAGCGCTGTGGAAGAGAGGGGTGGGGGTAAGGGAGAGCTGGATGGGGGACAGAGGGGGGACACGAGCCCAGGGGGGCACAGCTGGGCAACAGCACCCGGCTTGGAGCAGCCACAGTGTGGCCATCAGGTGCTCAGGCATTGGAAAAAGCTAAAGTCACCATCCCTGTAAGTGCTCAGTGTGGATGTGGCATTTGGGGACATGGCTCAGTGGTGGCCTTGGCAGTGCTGGGGGAAGGCCACAGACTCAGAGGCTTTTCCAGCCTCAGTGATTTCACCACTCCAGGATTTGAGCTGCTGAACCCCCAAGAGAAACCCACAGGCCCCAGATGTGTCCCAAATCCCAGGCTCAGGATTCATGGATGTCCCACAAGAGCTCTGCTCACCGGTGCTGCGGGGCCGGGAGGGCTCTCCCCGCTGCCAGGGCATCACTGAGGACAGGGGACGATGGGGACGAGTGCCCCGAGCCCACCGAGCCAGGACGGAAGGAAGTGCTTTTCTTGGCCACCTGCTTYCTGCCCTGGGCCAGCTGGTTGTCAGAGCATCTGCAGGAGGGAAGAAGGCAATTTGGAACATGGGAAAGCAACTGATGGGAGTCAAAATAACACTGCCCCAYGGAGTTGAGAAAGGCAGGAGAATCCCAGCAGTGGCTTTTTCCTACTAAGTGAAAACCAGTCCATTTCTGATCAGACTACTGCTGCAGCAATCCCACAACCATGGCGAATTTCAGAACTCAGCTACAGCTCCAAGTSACTTCTGATTCTGAAATAAGGCAAGGGTAACAAGGATGCCCAAGGCCTTTGTCCCGGGAAGCTGGACAAACCAGGCCATGAAGAAATCCCTGGATTAGCTGAAACCAGAGTTWCCAGAGGCTCAACCAGGCCTGAGTGGGAGGAACAAATCCAGAGAGTTCTCTTGCAAGGACTTAGGAACAAGATAAGATTGTGCAAAGGAATGTAATAACATCCCTGATGAAAGTGCTACCAGGGGCTCCAAAAAAACAGGTTCTCGATCCATTTCAGTGATTTCCAATCAACTCCAGGAGACTTCCAAACCATTCCAGCAGGTTTTAAATCAATAAAAGTGAAGTTATTGGGGAGAAAGGGAGGAGACAAAGGAGAGCAGGAAGGGATGAAAGGAGGAAACCTGCACCTGAGGATTCCTCTGTACAGAAAAGGTGGTGCCTGAGAGAGCTGAGCACTGGAAAGGAGAAGCAARAAGGTGGAAGGTGCTGGAATGGCTCTGGTACTCACTCCATCTCCACAGGCTGAGGAGAGGCRGGACGTGCAGCCGGCAGCTGCTCCGGAGCCTTGTACTGGGGACCAGTCCCTGCCAAATCCTGGGTGTACTGGACCACAGGGCCCTTGCTCCTCACAGCACCTGGTGGGGAAGGTGAAAAACCAAAAGAGTCAACAGGAAAAACCCCTAATGTTATCCAAATTGGCTGTGTGGGCTCCTTAACACTGATTAGTGCCTGCAAGGAACACCCGAGGGATTTGGGATTAACGGGGGGTCATCGCYGAGCTCGGGGCACAGCAACTCCCCCAAAAATTATGGGCACTTCACCTGAGTGCAGTTTGGTTTTGTGGCATTATTCCAGGAGAAAAATCSCACTGGAAATCTAAATCTCCTATGATACAGGAAAAGACCCACTGGAAATTTGAAATCTCCTTTGTCAGAAGGAAAAAAAAACCCAGAAATCTGAAATCTCCAGGAGTTCTGCTAAAGAACCCACCAAACCCAAACCACTCTCCAGTTAAATCCCAGGTTTTAAATGAACCCAAAAGATGCCACCAACCAACATTGGGACGAGTTCTGGTTTGCCCACTTTGCTTCTTTTCCTGGGTGGAAGCTGTGGAAGTTTTCATGCTGAACATGGGCTCGAGGCGTGTGGAACCTCGGTAAATCCAYTCACAACGTTTGTCTTCCTGCGGGAACGAGAAGGAAACACTCAYAGTTCCCGTGGGAAGAGCTTCCTGAGGTGAGACAGAGAGCACAAAGAGACAACAATGGGTATTGACAAATGGCACAACCAGGCAATTATTGATACTGGAATCTCTAATTGGATATTAGGGAATATTTCTTCATGGAAAGGCCATGGCAGGCTGAGCAGGGCAGTGGTTTTGGACAATTCCAGGGACAGTGACTGTGGCACTTGGGCTTATTCAGGGAGGGCCTTAGAGGTTCTTCCAACCTCAACACTTCCATGATTAGCAAGCAAAAAGGAGCTGATCAGATCCCCATCCTCAGATTTAATCCTAATGGGAGAAGGGAAATTCCTACCAGGAAAAGGATTTTGACCAGACTTCCATCCACTTCTTCCACCCTGGACTTCCACCAGGTCCCTTCCCACTCRGTTTTGATCGGCTGCCCGTTCTTCAGCAGCACCATGGGCCGGTTGGGGTAGGCAGTGATGTATTCCTCAATGAAATCCCGACAGGAAACATCCTCAATGTCCTCCCAAGCTTTTTTCACTGTTTGGAAAGGGGCACATGGGAGAAAGGAAAGAGGACAAAACAGAGACAACATTTAATTCTTTTTTTTTTTAGGATATCCCAGGGAGATTTTTAKGTAAGGTCAACCAAGGGGTGATCTTGAAGGGCTGGAAGGGTGGTGGAGCATTCTGAACCCAGCCTGGAATAAACCAGGATTTCAGRTGTCTCCAGGCTCAGCACCACAAGAGACACACCCGTTTTTGGCTCTCCCAAMCACCCCAAACTCTGCAGGGACACTCACATGGCCGGCACACCGGGTACAGCTCCCACTCCTTCACGTACGACGCGTAGCCATCGTCAAAGAAGATCAGGAACCTGRAAACAAACGGGAATTAGGGATGGGATTGAAGGAATGGGAATGGAGAACCTCTCCTGCTCCTCCTGGAGAYATCCCAGTCCTGGAAGAGGAGAGGATGAAGAGCCCCAAGCTCTCTCTGTGCTCCCCACAGCTGCTCAAACATTCCCAGCAGCACAATTCCCAGCCAGGCCCTTTCCCTCTGCTCTGAATCCCCTCTGTGCTCCAGGAAAGGGAGATAAAGGAAGAGAAAACACTTAAATGATCCTGGTTTCTGCAGCAAAGCTGGAGGAGGCACCCATTTACTGCCTCTGAGTAATGACTCCAGGCCCTGCAGGAGGGCACAGTTCAGCACCTGAAGAGTATTCAAATAAACCTTTTTTTTTACCTAAAACAGAGATGGGGATGTGGGAAATAAGGAATACCTSTCTTTATTCTTGACGTTGGGGGTCTCAGCCACGATCCCAGCATAGAGCCACATCTGATTGCCATCCTTGTACCTGGCCACCACCCTCCTGCCCACGTGGTGCTTCTCAGCAGCGGGGTGGTAATCATAGGCAATGTGGTTCCCCGACAGCAAACTCTTCCCTTTATTATCAAATTTCACTTTGTATTTCTTGCCAGTACCTGAAAAGACATTTGAAGGCAAACAGAAGATAAATAAAGGTAAAAATCAACAAAAGCTGTGTGATTTCACACCAGAAATCCAGTGCTGTGGGTCCCTCTGAGATGGTTTATTCAGAATTAAGCCAGAATTTATTTAAAAGCCTTTCAGGAATTAATTTGGAGGGTGAAGCAGTGGAGGTATCTTGCTCCCACAATCTTTTCCAGGTGACACCAGCTGCTCCAACACCTTTTAATCCAGGTTTCCCACCCAAAGCCCCATGCATGGCACATACCGACCGTCTGGATGGCAATCARCGTCCCTTTGTGCCACGTTTTGGTTCTTTTTTTCCCCAAAATCCTCATGCCCACTTTGAGATCCCCATCAGTGTTGAGGTCATTCTCTGCAGGGGCTGCAGGGACAGGGACAGGCTGGGCAGTGCCAGGAGATTCCTGAGGGGGCTGTGCATCTACCAAGGGACAACAGCACAAAGTCAGCTCCAAATCACCCAAAGCTCCCTTTCCTGGCACACAGCTGAAAGGACAATTCTGGAAAAACTCCTGCTTCCCTTCCCCTCAGGCAGCCCAGSCCCAAAGCCTCCCTTTAGCTGGATGGAAACAGCTTGAAGAAAAGCAGGAATTTGGAATCAATATACCCTAAACAAAAATAGCAATTCAATGAGGAATCAATAAATATGGATGGAGATTTCCAGCAGGAAAAAGGGGAAGCACAGAGCCCCTGGAAGCTCCCACACCTTTCTGTGCCTCCTGCAGGTTCGTTTTCTTGTTCACAGCATCCATGAATTTCGCAACATCACGGGCAGATTTCCTCATGGCAACCATCGCTTCCCGCAGCTGGAGGAAAGAGAAGGCAAACACAGAGAAACTGGGGTTTTTTTGCACCAAAAAAAACCAGGAAAACCCCAYGTGAAAAATCATCTCTAGGCAGGGCCTCCCCACTCACCAGACTCTGATCCTTGGAGATTYTGGCACTGCTGCTGCCTGCGAGTGGAGAGAAAACAGTAGTTTAAAATGTTTTTGGTGCAAAAAAATCCAACCTGCTTAAATCACAGAAAGAAGAGAGAACAGGGAAAAGCATYTAYCCCAAATCCCTGCCAGGAAATCCACCCAAACAAAGCTTCCCCTCAGTCACCTTTTCTAATGTGGGATCATTTGGTGGGTACAACAGCGAGGGAGGTGGGAAAAGGGTGAAATCCCGGAACATTAACAGGATCTGGCAGATGTTTCCCACCATCTCACAGAATTCCCTCATCCCAACCCCTCCCATGGCACACTGGGGACACTGAACTGCCCTTCCAGCCCGAGTCCACGCTCATGACATCGTCGTCCTCCTCGTCGGGGATCTCGATCACTTCGGTGGCCGCCGGTGCCTCATCCTCAGAGCTGCTGTCCCGGTACTGCAGGCCCATCATGGAGTACAGCTCCTTGGCCAGGGTCTCACAATTGTTGATGGCCCTGGGGAGGGAAATGAGCTGTGTCTGCCAGAATTGCACAGGGAGAGCCAGGAACGACACCTGGCCACAGGGAGATGGGCACGGGAAGGGTTGTCACCGTCCCTCGTTAACCCCACACACAGTGGGTCTGCCCTGAACACCCCCACATCCCCCTCCTCAAAATTCCAGCTCMCTCCAGCTCCACGCACCTCATGGCATCGTCGATGAGATGGTCAACGTGAGCCACCTCCTCCTCCTTGTGTATCATGCACTGCACCAGCTCCTCCAGCTGCTGCTTCTGCTGCCTCATCCACTCGGAATTCTCCACCTCTTTGTCGATGATTTCCTGCAGCTCCTCCATGGAGATTCCCAACTCCTCCATCACCTCCTGCTGCAGCTCTTTGATGTCCTGGGACTCCATCTCTGCCACTCCTGAGGGAGCAACGGGTGAGGGGAGGAAGGGGAGGACGGTGAGGGAGGGGAGGACGGTGAGGGAGGGGAGGACGGTGAGGGAGGGGATGGAAGTCATGGGAGCTCCCCCACCGTTTCCCACACTCCCCTCACCCTGCTCTGCCTCAGTTCCCCTCACAGCCCCTCCATCCCCTCACAACCCTGCTCCCCCCTCCTCCAATCCCCTCATAACCGCCCCGGTCTCCTCAGAGCTCTCCCGGTGCCCTCAGTACCTCACACCGGATCCCCCCTATCCCCTCCATCCCCTCACAGCCCAGTCCCGCCCGCCCGCTCCCCTCATGCCCCCCGTCACTCACCGCCGCCGGTCCCGGGAACCGGRGGGGAACCGGRGSRGAACCGGRRCAGACCCGGGACAGAACCGGSACAGAACCGGSACAGAACCGGAGCGCCCGCTCGGACGGCGCGTGACGTCACTTCCCGCGCTCGCGCGCGCGCTGCCGCCCCCTGGCGGGCGGGCGGTGCGGCGTGAGGGCCCCGAAATTCGGGAATAAATCCTTCGGGAATTGGGAATTGTCAGGAAATATCCGCTTATCCGCGGGAGCAGGGGGGATAGCTCGGCTCCGGAGGCCGCACGTCCTTACAARCCAGGAGTTTGTTCCCCCCGCSGAGCCCCCGGGGCTGTTGGAGCCGTTGTGAGCCCTCAGCGTTCCGCCCCAAAACGTTCCCTAAACCGCCACCTCCGAGGGGTTTGCGGCACA